AGTAATAAAATGTTGAAAACACATTTTTCATGAATCCTGATTAGACCAATGTCAGTTCATAAATCCATTATCCTTGACTTTTAAGTCTGTATTTCAGTGCAGATGCAATACCTTTGTTTTGTTATTGAGTTGGATTCACTTTTACAATTTTGGTTAAAAGATTATTATTTAGTTTTCTGTCTAAGGTCTTTTCAAATTAGTTAAACTGTATTTGGCTCTTATTTTAAAAAAACAGAAAATTATTATCAAATAACTGTTTTGTATCAATAATTTATCAACTAATTTTGGGGTAAAGTTTAATCTCTGCTACAATATATTCACAATGCTAGTATGAACTTTTGTAATTAAGAATGAATAATTACATAATAAAGTGACATCTGAAGTGCAATTATCCATGCAGAGTGGACTTGCAAGTTTTTTACCGTGGGGATCTGTTTCATTTTCAAAAAAATTTGAAATATACGATAATGATAATGTATGATAATACTAATAGGTTTGTAGGCATTTGTACATTTTTATTGTGTTCTTGTTTTATCAGGATCTTGACTTCTATGTAGTTCTATTTTAAATAAATATGAAAACAAAAAATATAGCTGAAAATGAAAACACATTAACTTCAATGTGATTATAAATCCAATTGTTATGGATTGTGCAATATAGAAATGGATTTTGGATTTTATGTTCATGGTGAGGAAATAAGATTGAATTTGCATATTTCTTATCAAGAATCATCACTCTAGAATTTTCTTGTTGTGGGTTTTGTTCTGAGTATGTGCTAACTTGCAATGTAGCATGCGCCAGGGTGCACCAATCTAAGTGTGGGCCTGCTGTCGCCTCCTCTTCAGCTTCGCAGCCATGCACAGTTCTAGTATTGCATGCATGCTGTAACCTTGCCTCCACTACCCTAGCTTCTGCACTACCACTTGAAGAGTTCCAGAGCTGCTGGCATGTGAAAACAGCATAATCTCTGTTGCTATCTCTCTCACCTCCATGTGACATGTGACATGTGACATGTGACACTGTGGAGAGACTTTCCTGGCACAAGCACCCGTGTGGATTAGGTGACATATACATTCTAATGCTGCAGCACTGTGTGAAACCCTTCACTTTTTTAGAGTAGTCATTATTCATGAAGTGTTTTATATTAAATGAATATATTTATCAGGTTACGTTTCTTTTTAATTTTTTTTATTTTATTGTATTGGAAAACCTGGCAGCTGAAGACAGTTTTGACATTTGAATAATTTCATAAATTAAAATTATGTGTTTGTTCACTGTGATAGTCTTTTCTGTTCTTGCGAGAGTCAACTCTTTCATTAAAAATGTTCTTGCACTGGCTGGTTTTAACCAAGGTGGTATAGAAATTGCAAACATCTATCTGAAAATAGTGTCCCAGTTTTTTCTTTTATATCATATCACTTTGGAAGTATCTTGGGATGTGTGAATTTAATGCAATAAGTCCCTGCATGAATTGAATTTTAAATATTGGAGACCATTGTATTATAAATGTTTGAAATATGCTTGAATGTGTGTGAATATATATGTAAAGAAATTGTTATTGTTTCTGCCAATGCAGAACAAGTTGTTAATACTTAAGTGTTATGGTCATTTTATGGCAAGGTGCATAAGTCTTGTGCTGATCAGCATGTTGTAATTTATTTGCATACATGGGCAGAAAAGACAGATTTTAACCTTGTACTTAAAAAGCCAAATGGAGTATCTGATATACTGTAAATTGTATCAGTATTGAAAAATTTGTAAGAAGAGTCCAAGACAATAAAGTATTTTATTCACTCTAATTTACTTTTATTAACATGGAGTACTTTTATTCTTGAATAAAGTAGCAGGATTTTGTCATTTTAAAATTCTGAGAAGTGTGATCCATTATTTCATTATCAATCATTTATCCTATTTACACATTAGGCTTTCTTTGTTATTGTAAATCTGCACAAAACGGAATGGAGAGGAACATAAGCGAACATTAAAAAAAAAACATATCACTAATGGTAATAGTAATTGTATTGTGTTATGAAGATTGATTAGTGAACATTCTAGAAAATAAAGGAAAACACAATTTGTTCCGAGTGTGTGTTTGGAAGATAAAAAATTTCAAGTATAAGGTGGCATTCAAATAATGCTTGAAATCAAATTAGTTCCCCTCCCCCCCCCTTCACTTTCACTATAATTTTTTTGGGGGGGCGTATATCAATTGAAATTGAAGAGCATTGTTTGAAATTTTAAAATATAATATGTTTACAAATATTTCTAGTGTGATTTAGGACTCTGATTCTTTATTATTTAATTTTTTATAATAATAATAATAATATTTTAATATTTTTGTTGTTATTTAAGGTCACATAAACATCTAGGTCATGAGCGACCATTATTGCATTTAATGGTATGGTAACTGTGAAGATCACATGATGTGATGATAGGGGTGAAAGGACGAACACAAACATAAACATGACCGAGGCGGGACACGAACTTGCGATCCATAGGTCCGAACTCGCAAGGGCATCACTGCCTTAATGATCTCTACCAACTGGACTGTCTGTTTCTTTATTGCAGTAAGATGCAATCATAACTTTCCTCTTGAACCTACCAGATTGTGACTGAAATGCAAATTTTTGAACTATAATAGTTCTCTCTCTACATGCTTCATATCCATTCCCCCATTTTTATTTCCGATGGTACTTTTAATGATGGAGACTTCACTAAAGAGATATTGGAGATTTGAAACTTTTCCCAATGTGGTGGGAAATTATTCAACTCGTTTTCTCATTTCAGTTGAAAATGCTACCAGCAATCCTGATGATATCAATTAGTATTTCTTTTCATGTATGACAGCTTTTCTATCAGTTCCTACAATTCCCTAATTTAGTTGACTAAAAATATGTGAACCTTACAAGCAGAGTATTGTATTTTTTGGTGAATTGCTGTATTGAATATCTATCTTACTTTACATTGTGTGTAGACTCAGTCCCTCAGCAAAATAAATTATCATTATGGACATCGCAAAAACTTTTCAGGACGATGGTTTTGAAAAATTGTGTTGAAATAGTTTCTTTCATAGAGGACAGCTAAGATAATTTAATATTTAACCTTGCCTTCAAGCCTCCTTTTGTTTGTCAATTACTTTAGCAGGTGACATGAGACACAAGCCAAATATTACTTAAGATGTGTAATGGATTCAGGAAATATAAAACGAAATCTGAAACAATATTTACATTAACCCCTTAATCAGCTATTCAGAATTTATAAGTTGACAGTCCCACCCAGCAAATCCCACCCTCGTGATTCTTGTAAGCCTCTTTTTATTAATCTAGGTATCTTACCATTACCTTGTGTCTTCATATATGAGTTAGTGGTTTTTGTTATAAATGACTTTCTTAAGGGGGGGAATATATTTTTAGCAAATGCTGATATCTATACTCAACACTCATATACAACACTCAATGTAGTAATCATATTCATCAGGTGATAGTATCAACAGCTCACTACAAAAAATTCTCACACATGTACATTATTTTACGACACCTTGCCTGATGACATTAACCGATTAAACTCGATACACAAGTTTAAGTCCCAAGTAAAATGTTTTCTGCTGCTCAACTGTTTTTATACGATTAGAGACTATACCGAGCATCCAAAAGAAAAGTAATATTAATTTAACAATGACATTTAATGTATTATTTACTATTTGGATTGTATAATTCTTAAGAACCTGTAACAAGTATTGTATTAAAGCTTGTGGGTCAATGACCCCTATCTTGATCAGATTTTTGTCAAATTTCCGTGATCTTTGAGTAAGGGTTGAGATGGCCCCTTGTTTTGCTTCTAGGCATAAATGTAACTTTAAATTAACTTTCTCCATTGCACATCATGCACAGTTTTTATCTGTTTTTGACATCAATAAATAAATAAAGAATTCCTGCTTAGAACATTTCTACCTCAGCTAGAAGGAATTGATGTTTCAATAGAAAATGTAATTAAGTGGTCAAATTGTGCTAGAGAGACAGAAAAAGAGGCTTAAATGCCTTTATTTTCATTGCATCGACAGGTGGATCCAGAGAGAAATTTTGGGAGGAGAAATTCAAAATGTTTTGGTCAAACGTGTCATATTTAAGATTTTGTAAAATGTCTAAGGCTACACCCAGCTCATTCTGCAAAACAATTTTATTCGTTTTAATGATTAACCGAAAATAGTTTTTGCTTGAAAGTTTTAGGTCAAGTAAAAATGATTAGTTACTGAAAAATTTTAGAGGGGAAATTCCCCGTGGATCCTCCCCTGCATCAAAGTAGGCTCATAAAGAAAATCCAACTTTAATGTTAATAATACTTTATCCCAACCAACGTTAAAGTTCATGGACGTCATTGGCAATAAGTTTCACATATTTTAGGCAAAAACGATTCCTAGTTTGATGTAAATGAACCCTGTAAATGAACAGTCTGCGCCAACTGTAATTCAGTGCCCGATTTCGTAAATTCAGTGAAGCGTATTTGATGGAACATGCCTTTTTAAAGTGTTGTATATTGGTAATGCAAATTGTATTTACCAAACTTTCAATAGTTTCTCGGGTAAATGCATTATTTACGTAGAATTGGCTAGCTAATTTGAAGCACCACCCAAAACTAATTATTTCGCCCCTAATAATCTTAAACTATTCTCTTTGAATATAATTGCATTAGACTCCGGGTATTAAGTGAAAGGTTGAATTTGTTGTAAGCAGCGGATGGCCCCGGGCCTGTTGAGGATGCGGCCACGCGGGGCGCTGGCGCGCCGCCTCGTGGGCAGGGCCAGTCACGTGCGGAGCGGCATCGGCGATAAAAACGTCAATTTGACACAGAGCAGAGGAGGGAATCAGCCTCCCTACTTCGAAGGGTGGGCGAAGTACGAATGAATGTAGAGGCCCTACGAAAACCCAAAGCCTTATCTAAGAATGTC